GTGTGTGTGGCACGCCTGTGCGCCCCCATGCGCTCCCCGCTGCCCCCTTCTCCCGAGGCCGTCCACTCTCTGGCTGCTCCCTCGCTCGCCCCCTCTCGGCCCGCTGCCCCCCCGAGGACAACGTGGGGACAGCGAGGTTCGTAAAGGGTACAATCTCATACGATGAAGAGGCGGGTCGAGCCCGATTCCGCCAACCCTCCCGTTCTGGCATCTGGAACTCCCCATCTATCAACCTTTGGAGGTGGATGGACGAATGTGATTCTGGACGCTTCCCGTACCCGTGCAGCCCATTTGGACACGTTGCCAAGGCGAGCAGTCGGGAGACGGGACGCACAGAAGTCTGCAATGAATTACCAAGGTCAAGAGTGTCAAACTCAGAGACCTCTGGGGCCTCGTGGAGGCCTCTTGTATGGCGCCGGGGGCCACTTGGAGCCGTCTCGGGGCCTTTTGGCCTGGCCCGGTCGGGCCTTTCTGTAGCCGCCTTGGAGGGCATCTTGTGCAACCTGGAGGCGTCCGAGAGTGGATCTCGAGGCCATGAGGGCCCCAGAGACGTTGTTCTCCCCCCTCCATGCCCCCGCCCTCTCAAGCAGAATTCTGGACGTCCAGTAAGGGTGAATCGGGGGACGCGTCCTCGTCTTCGTCGTCGTCGTCATCGTCGTCGTACTCCTCCTTCGTTTTCCTGACAAAGAACTCTTTGTCGTGCCCCGAGGCTGGTCGAAAGGGAGTGGAGAGCGTATCGCCCATGATTTCTTTGTCAATTTCACGGATAGAGCGGTTTTCAACATGTGGATCTCGCCTGAGGCCGTGTAAGTTTCGTTTCAAAAGATCGCCAGAGTTTCACGGGTGGAGCGCGGGTCGTTTCAAAATGGTGTTCTTGCATTCGTGCCGCGCGCGCGATCTATTACAACAGTTCAAGGATTTCACAGATGGAGGGAGGAGCCCCTTTTAAAAAGCAGCTGTCGCATTAGTACCGCGCGCACTTTTCTAAACAGACATTGCAAGGGTTTCACGGATGGAGGGCGGACCGTTTTCAACATGCGGTTCTCGCCTCGGCGCCGCGTACCTTTCTCTTAAACGTGTACAAGAGTTTTGCTGTTGAAGGGCAGCCCATTTCCCCAATGTGGTTTTCGCTTCAGCGCCGCGCACATTCGGCTCAACAATTTGCAAGATCTTCACGTATGGAGGGCGGTTTCTTTTCAACATGTGGCTCTCGCATAAGCGCCGCGTGCATTCGGTTTAAGAGTTTGCAGCCGTTTCAAGAGTTTTCGTAGTTAACGGTCCAACAATTGTGGCTTGGCACGATGTTAGAATGTCAGGTCGCAACAGTCACGTTAATTCGCGGTGTTGCAGCCCCAGGACTGGCGTTCTGGCATTATTCAGGATTGGGTAGCAGTGATTCGCGGCTTTGACCTTTGACGTCCCAGGAGCGGTGTTCTAGCACAGTTCTGGATTGTGAAAACGGCTCTTTTCCAACGGTGCATTTCTTTCAATGGAACTGATCCCTTGTAGGGGCGTATGCAGAGGGATTTTGGAGGGAGGGTTTATTGCAATATCGCTGATGAGTCTGGAGTTTGCACTTGGCCTCCTTGTCCCCCCTCTGCTCGCGCCGTGGTCGGTGGTCCTTTTTTTCTGCAGCCGCGAGTGAGTTCGCTACAGGATAAGTGTGTCGTAGCATGGTTGCCCAGAGGCGAATTGAGCTCAGGGGGTGCAGCATCGTCTACATTGCCCCAGCCCGAGCCCCAGTGACACTGAATGGCCTTGAGGGGCTTGAGAAACGAATCTGAACTTTGCCTCGATCCTCCTCCCAGGAGGCTCGCCGTCCTCCTCCTTCTCCCCGATCTTCGCCGTCCCCCTCCTCCTCCCCCTCCTCCTCCTCCTCCTCCTTCTCCTCCTCCTCCACTCCCTTTCCTTATGCGTGAATCCTTTTCGCCGGGCGTCCTCCAGTCAAACGGGCGGGCCGGGCGTTTCGCCTCAGAGTTCCTCACCATCTATGACCCTGGAGCCTAAGTATTGGCACCAATTTTACGCATTGAGGGCGGGCCGTTTTCAAAATGTGGTTTTTGCCTCAGCGCCGCGCGCATTCGTTGTTCAAAAAGAATACAACAGTTTCACGGATTCAGAGCGGGTCGTTTTCAACATGTGGTTCTCGCTTTTTGCGTTGCTCACACTCGTGTTGAAACGTTGCACGAGCTTCACGGTGTGGTTTTCACCTCAGCGCCGCTCACATGCGATTCAAATTTTTGCAAGTGCTTCACGGATTGAGGGCGGGTCGTTTTCAACATGTGGTTTTCGCCTTAGCGATGCTCGCATTCGTTTTCAAAAGATGCAAGAGTTTCACGGATTCAGGGCGGTTCCTTTGCAGAACGTCATTCTCGCTTTCGTGCCGCGCGCGATCTCGTTTTACACATTTGCAAGGCGTTCACTGACTTCCATGGTCAACGTGCCAAAAATAATGCGTTTGAGAGGCATGTGACCGTGAGGGCGCAACCGTTGGGTGGACTCGCGGTGTTGAAGTCACAGGAACGGCTTTCTGGCACGATGCTGGATTGTCACGGCGCAACCGTCATGTTGATTCGTGGCGTAAGAGTCCAGAGAATTGTGTTTTGCGCGTGTCAAGGTGTTCAAACGGTTTGTATGGGCCTATGAAGTGAAAGCTTGGGGGGAGGGTTTATCCCAACATCGTTGATGAGTCTTGGGTGTACACTGGTCCTCTTCCTCCTCCTCCTCCTCCTTCCCAGACCTCCGCCACGATCCTCCTCCGACAAGTCGTCGTCCTCCTCCTGTCCTCCCCGCCTCCGAGGAGACTGGACCAGGAGGTCCGCGACAAGCTGGGCGAGGCGCTGGCCGCGCGGCCCCAGAAGCCGAAGCCGAAGCCGAGCGCCGGCAAGCCCGCTGCGGCGGGCGGCGGCCTGGTGGAGCCAGAGCAAGAGGAGCTCGTGGTCGTCGTCGTCGCCGTCGTAGTCGTCGTCGCCGCCGCCATCGTCATCGCGTCGTAGTGGTCGCCGTCGCCGTCGCCGCCGTCACAGTCGACGTCGTCGTCGCCGTCGTCGTCGTTGTCGGAGGAGGAGGCGGAGGAGGAGGAGGAGGTGGAGCAAGACAAACTAGGTGCGCTCGCGTCACATCTGACATCCTACCCCTCCCTCCCATCCCTTACCATGGCGCAGATCCCCTCTCTACTCGCACAGTCGGATGTCGAGCAGGGCGATGATCCCGAAAGGGTAAGCGATGCATTGTAGAGCACGGCATGGCATGGCGTAGAAGAGCACAGCGAAGCGTAGTATCAACCTAGCATTGCATTGCATGCCGTGGCATGGCACGGGAAGTGACGCCAGCGCTGCAGCGGGAGCACGAGTCGAAACGAGCGGAAGCGCGGAAATGAGGCCAGCGCTGCAGCGGGAGCACAATTCGGAACGAGCGGAAGCACGGAAATGAGGCCAGCGCTGCAGCGAGAGCACGATTCGGAACGAGCGGGGCCCGAAAATGAGGCCGGCTCCTCAGCGAGAGCAGCCTTTTGGGAACAAATGCAGGCGAAAACCTAACTCCGGGGAAGGCTTCCTGGGCGCCAGAAGCAGAAATTCAGCATGTTCAAAAGAAACATTGGTATTGGAATGGCCTTTTTTCGGCGCCGCCTCGGAACTCGATTTTCCGGCGCCGGCCGGAACCGGCTCCCGATCCGGCCCGGGCGCGGGCCCGGGCGCTGGCTCGGGCGTCCGGCCCAGGCGCCGGCTCGGGCGCCGGCCTGGGCGTCGGTATCGGCCCGGGAGGCATCCCGGGCGCCAGAAGCAGAAATTCAGCATTTTCAAAAGAAAAATGTGTATTAGAATAGCCTTTTTTCGGCGCCGCCTCGGAACTCGATTTTCCGGCGCCGGCCGGAACCGGCCCGGAGGACCGGGAGCGCCGATTTTCAGCGCTCCATGTCAAACGTCGGTTCTGCGCTCCAAGGTTGGATGCGCGGCCCATGTTGTAGGATCTGCGCTCTATGGTCGGATCTGCGTTCCATGGTAGGATGTGCGTTCTATGTTCGGAGCTGCGCGACTCGTCTTACTGAAAGTAAAGACGCCCTGGGGCGGAGCTCCCTAATGGGCTACGAAGCGTGCGACGGGTGTGCCGAAATCGGCGCGGGGGACGCATGCGGGTGGTGCCATTGGGGCCTTGGGTGGAGCTCCCCATGGGGCCACGAAGCGCCTGAGTTGTGTGCCGAAATCGACGTTGGAAAGGGATTCGCGCTGAAACCCAAGACCATGAAAGGCCACGGGGCGCGTGAGCGGCGCCCCGAAATGGGCACGCGGCGGGCGCGGGGCCGCATGCGATCGCGGCCACTGGGGGACACTCGGTGGAGTTTCCCCGCGGGGCCACGAAGCGTGCGAGGGGTGGCCGACATGGGCATGCGTGCGAACGCGGCCACGTGGGGCTCTCGGTGGAACCCCGACGTGGGGCCAGGAAGCGTGAGACGGGCAGCGATGAGCGCGCCTGCGGTGGGCGTTGGGCCGCATGCGAACGCGGCCGGAGGGGCCTTCGGTGGAGCTCCCAGTGAAGCCACGAAACGTGGATGGGGGGAGGTGATGTCGCCCTGCGGTTCGGCTTGGCGGGCGAAGGGAAACGCCCAGGGCGCCTTGGGCATTGGCCTTGCGTGCGCGGTGAAAGGTCGAGGCGCCTTCGGCGTTTTTCCAGCGGGCGCTGGGCTGTCGCCAAGCGGGCGCGTTGCAAAGCCCAGGGGCTGTGGGTTTTGGCTTAGCGGGCGTAGAGAAGGTACAAGGCGCCCTGGGATTTGGCTGAGGCGCGGAGAGAGTAACAAGGCTAGGGCGCCATAACCTTTGGCTTGGCAGGCTCGGAGGCAAGTGCCAGCTTATTCCTCGATTTTGGTTAAGCCAGGGTGCCCAGGCGCCTTCGACGTGTCACCGGCTTGCGCTTCCTCCCAATGGCTTGTTTTTTTTTGTTCGGTGCGCCTTCGCTCTCCTTGGTTAAAGCCCCCCTCCAAAACACACACACACACACATACACACACACACACACACACACACACACACACACACACGCACACCCTGTTCGTGAGGACTCGTGCTGATCCCATCCGAGTGTCGCCAGTTCGTCCTTGAGGCGGGCTGGCGGCGCCTCAGAGGAGCCTAACACACACACACACACGCACACATTCACACACACACACTCACACACACATTCACACACATGCACACCCACACATTCACATACACAAACACACACACACGCACACGCACACACACACACACACACTCACACACACACACTCACTCACACACACACACTCACACACACACACACACACACGCACGCACGCACAGACACAGACACAGACACAGACACAGACACAGACACAGACACAGACACAGACACAGACACAGGCACAGACACACACAAACACACACACACACATACACACACACACGCACACACACGCGCGCGCAGGCTGCCGATGACCACGCGTTGTGAACATAATGCAATTTCAAATGCGCCACAATGACGCAGGTCCAACAACCCCCAGTGACCCCACACCTCCTACAGCGCCACAAATTGACGCGTTCAGCGGGGTACGTGCGCCACAAGCGGCACTTTGGGAAAGCATCGCCCACTGACCCCGTAGACCTCGCAAGGCCTCACAGGCCCCGTTGGTTGCGTGAGCGCCATGGAATGGCATTCCCATTGCGCAGGTCGCACGAGTTCCATTGGCACGCAGGTAGCCCAACAAGTCCCATAGTTCCCGCAATTTTCAAACGTCTGACGCGCATCTCACGGGCAGTTTCGTATGGTCGTAACCCCCCAGACATCATGACATACCCCACCCCCGAGGCCGACTTGCCCGAGTGATCCCGACGGCGCCACAGGGTCACGCAAATCTTACACATATCACAAGCCGCACATATTTCTCGAATGCTCGCATGATGTTTCACATTGACACCCACGAGTCCTTGAGCAGATGCTAGCGTCGAAGACGGGCACCTCAGAATCTCATGGTCGCCACCCTTGCATGTCTGACCACCATCGTACAACACGCTTTATTTGAATAGTCGGACCCGAAAATCGCCAACCCGCCTCCTGATTACACGCGTGTTGCGCTTGCAAAGGCGCCAGAAAACGCGTGGTCGAAACGGCGCTCCGTAATTCGGCGCTCTAGATGTTCTGCGCTCTGCTCCAGACCTCTTTGCTAAACATGGGATGCCGATCCGGCGTCACAAAAAAAACTTGCGCTCCATGGTTGATCCTGCGCTCCATGTTAAAACTTTGCGCTCCATGTTGGAAAACCGCTCAGCGGCGTCTTGTCGGATCTGCGTTCCATGGTCGATTCTGCGTTCCATGTTGGAGGATCTGCGTTCCACCCCAAACGCGGGATGCTGAAATCCGGCGCTCCGGGTCCTCTGGGGGCTCCGGATCCGGCCCGGGCGCGGGCCCGGGCGCCGGCTCGGGCGTGCGGCCCAGGCGCCGGCTCGGGCGCCGGCCTGGGCGTCGGTATCGGCCCGGGAGGCTTCCCGGGCGCCGGAAGCAGAAATTCAGCATTTTCACAAGAAAAATGTGTATTAGTAGCCTTTTTTCGGCGCCGCCTCGGAACTCGATTTTCCGGCGCCGGCCGGAACCGGCTCCAGACCCAGCCCGAGCGCCGGCCCGGGCGCCGGCTCGGGAGTGCAGCCCGGGCGCAGGCGGAAATGATGCCAGCGCTGCAGCGGGAGCACGATTCGGAACGAGCGGGGCTCGAAAATGAGGCCGGCGCCTGGGCGAGAGCAGCATTTTGGAAAAAATACAAGCGAAAACCCAATTCCGGGGAAATCTGTGTGTAAAAAACAATACGCGGGGGGGGGGGGGGCGAATATATCCCAAGACGTCTGCAGGGGAAGAGGGAGAGTAGTACTCATATTGAGTGAGGAGGAGGAGGAGGAGGGAGGAGTGGGAGAGGGGAGGAGGAGGGGGAGGAGGGGAGGAGGAGGTGGAGGAGGAGAGTGGAGAGGAGGAGGAGAGAGAAGGAGGAGTCAGCAGGAGGAGAAGGAGGAGAGGAGGAGGAGGTAAAGAGGGGGGAGAGGGAGGGAGGAAAGGGAATGGAGGAGGGAGCAGGAGGAGTGGGAATCTGGATGAAGGCGGAGGAGGGGGACGATGAGGAGCAGGAGGACAGAGGGGGGGGGAGCGAGAGGATTAGGATGACAGGAGGATGAGGAATGAGCAGGAGGATGAGCAGGAAGAGGAGAGGAAGGAGAGGAGGGGAGGAGGTAGGAGGAGCAGGAGCAGAGGAGAGAGGAGGAGGAGGAAAGTGGAGAAGGAAGGCGCAGGAGGAGGAGGAGAAGGAGGAGGAGGAGAGGAGGAGGGGGGAGGCGGGAGGATGCTCAAGTGATGATATTGAGCTTATTTGGCTCCGTCCCCCGACAACGCTGAAGGACTCCCTCGTTACAGATACATTGAGATGGCGTCCCTCCGTTGCCCTATCACTGAGCCTCGCGTGCGTCCTCCTCCTCCTCCTCCTCCTCCTCCTCCTCCTCCTCCTCCCCCCCCACTCTTCCTCCTCCTTCTCCTCCTCCACCTCCTCCTCCTCCGCCTCCTCCTCCTCCTCCAGAGGTTGCTTTTGGTGCTCTTCGCCCTGCCAGCGTTGCCGCCGGGAAAAGCTCACTCCGAGCGTGCGGGCTCGCGGGCGCTGCACTGGAGTTGCCAGCGCTTTCGACAGGACGGTCACTCCGAGCGTGCTTTTTTCCCTCCAAGCGCACATCGCACTGCCAGCACATCGCGAGGCCAGCGATCGACAGTTGCAAGATGCTGCGCGTGAGACTACAGCAAAGAAACTAGTATATACGCATGCGTGCGGGGCAAACTCGCGTAAGTCAGCATGAAGTTCGACCTCGCCACTCCACACCACTTCTGTAGCACGGGGGGGAGCTTGATGGCTACACGTGACCTCTCCGATACCAACAAAGTTCAACTTAACAGCCATGCCAGCCCAGGCCAATACGCGTGTTTATTGCATTCCAGTCGAGCATTTTTTTTGCGAGCTGTCTTGTATCCGAGAAACGGGGAGGCAACCTTTCACCCGAGTCGATCTCTTGAGCTGGCAGGACCTCCCTGCTCTGGGATAGCATCTCGGCTTCAAGCGATGGGGATGCGCGGGCCTCGGGAGGTCCCTGGAGGTCCCCGGCGGCCTTTGGAGGCCCCTGGAGGCCCAGGACACGGGCCCACAGCGCCCAATATCCTCGAAGGAGGAGGCGGATGAGGAGGAGGAGGAGGCGGAGGAGGTGGAGGAGGAGGAGGAGGAGGAGGAGGAGAAGGAGGAGGCGGAGTGGGGGGGGAGGAGGTGGAGAAGGAGGAGGAGGAGGAGGAGGAGGAGGAGGAGGAGGAGGAGAAGAACTGAGGAAGAGGGGGGGGAGGATGCAGGTTCCAGATTCGAGGAGGGTCAAGAGAGATCCCCGATCCTCGATCATCGGTGCCTGGAGGCCAGCCTGGAGCGCTTCGTGAAGGATGCGCTCCACAAGGCGTTGGACATGGCCGCCGAGCGCGCCACGGCGGATCGGCGACTGTCGGCTCTGCCCCCATGGGTGTGCCAGGCGAGTCCGAGAGCCCTCCTTGATCTTTTTGTGTTAGGCTCGCTCTTGCCGCGATGCTGTAGCGTCCAAGCGCAATAAGAACGAGCGCAAAATGAACGACCAAAAACAACGGGTTCGTCTTCACCGACATTGGCGCGTAAGTTGCCCGCGGAAGGTCGCGCATGAGCACCCTCGTGTCCCACATCTGCCGCGCTGGCGGCCCGCGTAAGTCACCGCGTAATGTCGCTGTTCCATCTCGCACAAGACCCGTTTCTGGTCGTCGTTCACATGCAGCAGCAGTCGCGCCTCCTCTTTCCCTTCCTCCTCCACGGGCCTCCTCCCCAGGCCTCAGGGGACTGTTTCTGATCAATCCTGGAGTTCAGATTTCGGCCTGCAGGGGGCCCGCGTCCGGGTCCCATACAGGCAAACACTGGTTTGCGACGATCAGCTCTAGCCGCTGCAACGCAACTGCTGCTGCTGCTTCTGCTCCTCCCCCCTCCTTCATTCCCCTCTTCCCGGCCCTCCTTCCTTCCCATCCCGCTGCTCGCGGTTGATAACTTTTTGGATCGTGTGTCTCTCCGCCGGCTCTTGCCCACCACGCTTCGGCGCGACGCGCTGTCCACTTCCTGGCCCCCAGGCGCCAGCGTCCCGAGCCTTTCCGAGCCTCCCGCCCCGCGGGGCGGAGTGACACGCTGTCCGCTCGCAAGGCGCAGCGTGTCTCGCTGGGGCCGCCGCGGCGACGCGCTGTGCAAGAGTTCCCGACCGTGCTCTCCTCCTGCCGACTACCTGAATTCCTGATGGCGAGAATGTCATCCTGACGTACTCCAGATTTCGTAATAAAGGGAGGGGGGTCTCATTTCGGGTGGGGTCTCTTCCAGGCTATCTTGGAGGGCCTGGGGGGGTCTGGGGACGATGTTTTGGAGGGTTCTCCCACGGGGGGGGGTCTGAAATGGCTTGTCTTGGAGGGTCCAGACCCCCTCCCTTTCATTGCGACATCTGGAGTATCCATCCCACCCCAGTGCCAGTTGGCCCTGGGGGGTTGAAGGTAGCGACAGCAGGCAGAGGGGGGAGGAGAGAGAGAGGATAATGTCTCCTCCACCTGCCCTCGCCCCTCGGCGTGCCAGGCACGCGCGAGGTTTCTGGTGGCCGTCTCGGCCCCCCTCGTCGTCCTGGTGCTCCTCAGGAGCGCGGCGGCGCGCGCAGAGGGGAGGCGGCCCGTGAGCCCGTGGTGCTCGCCGTCGTCGTCCTCGTCGAGGCGAGCCCACCATGAGCCCCCCTCCTCCCCCTGCTGCCCCCCCCCTTCTCCTTCTCCCCCTTCTCCCGCCACGCGCCCCTCCCCTCCCCTTCTCCCGCCACGCGCCCTTCGCCCCCTTCTCCCGCCACGCGCCCTTCTCCTTCTCCCCCTTCTCCCCCTTCTCCCCCTTCTCCCCCTTCTGCTGCTCCCCCTCCCCCGCCCCCTCCCCCTTCCCCGC